TGTGTGTGTTGTGTGTGTGTTGTGTGTGAGGATCTGAAAACTGAGGGAGAAAAGAGGGAAATGCAAGTGTGTGCTTGTACATCTGTATAGGGCGAGGCAATGCCAGTCAGACATTTTGTGCAGGCAAGAGGCCACTATTAACCTGGAGGCTCCACACAGCATTGATCAGTTGCCCTCTCAATGCTTTTGTCCTTCCATATTTGTGCTGCTCTCTCTTTTATCTCTATCTCCGGTGGGATCTCTCCTCTTCTCTTCATCTGAGACCATGTCTCTGGCTAGGCAGACCCAGCTTTAGCTCTGCTTCAGTGCACGGTTGTCCCTGACTCCCCGAGTCAGCATAAATTTTACATGAGCTGTGTCCTTATGAAACATTACACAACCAAGGGAGAGGGTGAGTGGTTGCTCGCGTTTTTGTGTATGCTTTGTGGGGTGTGTGCTTGTGTGTCAATAAGCTAGTTGTTTACAAGCGTGCAGCTTTTTTGAGATGTGTTGAGATGAGAGAGAATATCTCATTGACTGCTATTATACCCTAACTTATCCACTGTATTCTCCATTATGTTCTCTCTCCTACCTCACCACACTGATCTGTGTGTTCTTTACCCAGGCTAACAGGCTATGGGATCCACCACTGCTTTGCCCGTAGCATGATGGACCCCGAAGCTCAGGAGACAACCATGTTCCATAACTTCTATGCAGACTATTACACCATGGCGGGCATTGCGGTGGCGTCCTGCATGGCGCTGTGCCCCGCAGTGGGTCTGATGGGCCGACGGGGTGGCCTTCTCATGTTTATGATCATCACTGCCTTGGCATCACTGCTGCAGCTGGGCCTGCTCAATTGTGAGTGCTCTATGACCAACACCGGTTATACATGAAATTGCCCCAAAAGGATTCTTGAAGGATGATACCACAAGGATGATGTTTTTAATGGTTTTGAGTATCTGTGGTAGTATTCGTCGAAACTCTACAACAGTGTTTAAACTATAGAACGCAAATATTGTGATTAAAAAAGATTTTAAGAATTAAATGATAAGGCTGGTACTATTCTTTATTTTTCTTATTGTTGACGAATCCCATGAAAAGGTCAACACTGACTGATCCTACTACCAAGAACAGTCTGTGTATCCAAAGCCTCATATATCTTATTCCATCGTGCCATAGAGCTCCATTGTTGTCCAAAAACTATTTAAAACATATCAATGAGCCTCACTGTTGCGCTGGTGACATGGTACGTCATTACAATGAACATGGGCACTGATGTTTTGAGTCCAGTCCACGCACATATCCTGTTGCCAAATATGTATTAATTTATGGCAGAAAATAGTCCCCAACAAATGCATTATTACTCCCGTTTAACTAACCTTAGCTAAAAAGTCAAAGCTAAAAGTTTCTGTGAATTGTTTCGCCTTTTTAAAAAGTGAAACAGTATATTTGCAACCCATGTTTTAAAGCTTATGACTGAGGGAAGCCGGAAAGTAGTGAAAGCACTTGAGCTGGCTATTATAACAATTAAATGAATACACAAAATGTAATGTAATATTTTTAATGTTGCTGTAGTCAGGGAGGGACCTCTATCATGATGGACATGACCGGCCAGTGTCCTATTAGGGCTGGGCAATATTATCTGTATTGTTTATTGACTTTCAGTGCAATAATTTTATGATGATATGATAAGACCACATATTACAAAATTCTGGCCAAATGAATGATTCCAAACAAATTAAAAAGTAATAGAATAAGTTATTGCAATTTTGATTTACATGTGATGATACTTTTGCCTGATATATATAATGTTAGAACAACCTTAGTATAGAGTTACAAGAGTATGTTTAAAATAAACTGACCTGAGACATCTTGACCATTAGCAGTTCAAATCCTGTGTCTCATACACAACGTGCTGTAAATGCTAACGCTAAGTGTGGTGGGGGCAATGTGTAAGGGTTACCCTTTAGTTGTTCCTGATGGAGTAGGCGGACATGATTGCAAACTGCTGTTTTAGTGTCAATAGTCAATGTGTACCAAAAAGTTCTCCAGATCAAAACAGTACACAAGTCAGTTTATTCAGTTACAAATGAGCAAGACTTAATGTTTAACCTGAGTCAACACATCAAGGTTATGCTCATGTTTCATGTTCCCATTTGAAGTTGTTTATGTTGTAACAGAGTGTGGAAAAGCTGTTTTTTTCCCTAATGTTTGACTCTGGTTTTAATTTATTGTCTGAGTGCATGTTATGGTGTTACTGCGTTGTTGTTTCTCAAAGATGCATATCTGTTTATCTCTTTCATTCTCCTCTAGTGGTGGGGAAGTACAGTGTCCATCTGAATATAGGTAGGATAATCTCTTTATTTCCATTCTTCAAGTCTTGTATTTGAGTTGGGTATAGATAAACTGATCAATAATTGAGTACTCTTGCTTGGATGTTCTTCCACTATCATTTTTTATCAACTTCACATTCTTTCAACGTGTGAATTGAATTGTCTAGATTGCTGCACTATCTTGATGATGCAGGCAACCAGCAGTATTTCATTAGGCGAATACAAGCCTTGCAGAGACACATAATGAAGTCCTGGATGTAATTATGGCTAGCTTTTCGCTTATTTATCCCCTTTGTGTTGTAGAGGGTGAGCATCTCTGTTATAGAGCTGTGAATCTCACAATCAGCCTTCTGTCACCGTTCTACTGTTTATCAGTTTCTTTATTCTCTTCTAACTAATCCTCCAGTGGGAAGCAAGAGCTGATCACAGTGCAGTCTCTTCTCATCCTCTTCATGCCATCTTCAAATGTCTTATTCATAGACAGCACTGTATTCAATCCATCGTTGGTATAAATTTTATCCAAGTAATGTTTATTAGCACTTTACCTTGAGGTTTTCTAAATGCACAGTTTGGAATTTTTTGTTATGATTATTCGTGTTATGTTATGTTAATTTGTTATATTGTCCATAATATTCAAGTTTTAGAAAGTCTTGAGCTTGAGAAATAATATATATATATATATACACTAATATAGTATAATGTGGTATACGGAAGCAAAAAAAACTAATTTTGAAATGTGACCCCTACTGAATATTTGATGTTGAAATTTGAATCCCACTGAAAATGAACTAAAATGTTTTACTCTGAAATCCATCTTTATGTGCTCTGAATGGTTCTCTTTCAAGACTTTAAGGTGACTTGATTTTAAGTTTTGTTAATAAATAAATGAAAAAAGTCAAGTCAGGTCACCAGAATTCAAGATAAAAAAATTCAAATTTTATTATAGTAATATTTGGCAGGATTAAAATTTTAAAATGAAGTATTCACTAGTGGTTATGCTTAGGTTATTTCACAATGGGGTATACTTCTGCTTATAAGAATTATGTACATGTCCAGCACTATTGTCCTTTTTACAGATTACACAGGGTACTGAGTGCAAATTGTGTGTCTCCTACTTTGTCTGCAGATAACTCAGGTACGATGAATAAGCACTTCTCAATCGCCTTCTCCATCATCGGCATGTTTTCCTCCCACGCAGTCAGCAACTTGAGCATCTTCTTCTGTGCCGAGATCACACCCACTGTGATCAGGTAAGCCCACCGAAACACTGGGACTGTATCTTTTTAGAAGAGGACGACATATTGTGGAAAATGTGGTTTTACTTTTGAGAGGAGTGGAACGGCTGTGCTTAATGTATAGCTCTTGCTTTGTCATTACACATCCAGGTAATTAGTCCACCATGTGATTGTCTTTGCTCTGGTATGTGCGCTAAAATTATGAATGTCATCGATTTAAAGGTAATGGGTTGACGAGCATTACAGATATTTGAAATGTTCTTTTTACACCTGTTACATTGTCCTGATTTAGTTTATAATTCAGTTGCTACAGTGGTTGGTTTCTGTCACATATTCCTGCAGATGGATTAGCTGCTCCACCTCCTGTTAAAGAAGGGTATGAAATTATTGAACTGCTAGAAACAACAGCCTCTCACAGTTCAGTGTCAAATGTAATCTATGTGCTAATGTAATCCTTGTACAAATTAGCCATTCCCTCTGAGAATATATGACACAGCACTGGATGTTTGTTATATGGGGTTACGTAAAGGGTGTTGTTCTGCTGACAGTGCTCCAAGCGCGCCCTCTGGTGGTGAACTGCATGTGTAGAAGAGGGCGTTTTGTGGTACTGCAGCACTCTCTGCTGCTGTTTTGATAAAATGGCAGTGATAAGTCAAAAATAAGTGCACAGCCAAAAGTAAGAGCCTTACTTCCAAAAAATGGTTTAGGCGACAGTTCTTATAGGCATATAGTTGATGATTTACTTTAATAGCAGTGAACAGTCTTCCCCTTTGGGAGGTTTATGAGGTTTTTTTAGGTATGTGTGATCATAAATCCTAAATCCTACCAGATGATAACATTTTTTGTCTCACCACAGGGGTGGCGGTCTGGGCCTGGTCCTGGCCAGCGCCGGCTTCGGCATGCTGACGGCCCCCATCATGGAGCTCCACAATCAGAAGGGCTATTTCCTTCACCACATTATCTTTGCCTGCTGCACTCTCATCTGCATCATCTGCATTCTCCTGCTGCCTGAGACACGCTACCAGCCCCTCCCTGAGACCCTGGCTGACGGCGAGAGCTACACTCGTCAACCTCTCCTTCCCCCGAGGAAACCTGGAGAACAGCGCCTCTTGCTGCCCCAATCCGAGAGCAGCAGGGACTACACCAGGGTGCATGACACGCCGCTCCACGAAGCAGCTACCACCGTAGTGTCCACCATGGACTCCACCGCTTCTTCGGCTGTCGATTTGACCGCCCCATCGGTCGGCGATATGTCCGCTCCCATGTTTATGGAGGTGCACCCTGGCAAGCCTGAGCATAAAGACCCCAACGGTCATTCCGTTTCATCTTTATCCACAACCCCCATCACAGCCCTGGGTAAAGACGGGGTCATACATGCCAGTAAAGAGCATATTCTGTCTTCCACTCCTTTACACAAAGCCTCATGTGTCACAGATCCGCTTTTAGCCGGTGCCGAAGAACCTCCAGCGATAGTGGTGGATTCTGTTGAGCCACTGACGGATTCTGACATTCCTGAAATGAATGACATTGGTCCTTCACATACAAAAGAGTCAGCACCTTCATTGGACTCTTCCACTCCTCCTGTTCCTCAAACTGTGCCTGCCTCCTTATTGATCTGCACCACACCCATTATTGAACCCCCGCCTAGTGCCACATTAGAATCCCCCAACCCGCTGGGGAATGAGATAGACAGTATCACCCCAGAATTTGACCCACCTTTGCTAGAAGACACTCATGCCACTTTAGCAGACTCCCCTACTCCATCTATGCATGACAGTCCCCCTCCATCCCCTACGCCCTCTCCTGTTCCCATGACAGACATTACCACTGACCCTCCACCCCCCACTGACGCACACTCTGACATTCCCACTCAGTTAGAAATAGTAGACGAATCTACATCTACTCTTTCCACTAAAGACTCCCCCATACCTTCTGTCATAGACTCCCAACTGTCACAGTTAGACTCTACCTCTCCCTGTGTTAATGATATATCACCTCGCTCCCCTACTCCCCTTAGAACAGTCACCGTTTCCCCTTTACCCACTCCTCCTCCACCCACTCCTCCTCCACCCACTGACTCAGGCCATATGCCCTCAGGGGACTCTTCCACTCCCCCTATCATAGATATTGTCAATACCACTGCAGCGATTCCTACCATTCTCCCGGTCACAGACATTCTGCACACCTCCACAGACATTGTTCAGCCTACGCAGGATTCAGCTGCTTCCCTTGGCATAGATTTAGTACCAACTTCCATCACAGATTCCGGCTCCACAGAAGCAACCCTCCCCTCTCTAATGGACTGCACCGTCTCCTCCCCCATAGACTCTGGTGTCGTTTCCGTCAGGGACAGTGCCAGCACAGAAAACAACACCGTCAATGGCGTGGCATCATCATGATCCTTTGTTGCAGACAGGAAAAGAAGCTTTACGTTTGCAGAGGAAGCAGCCCATGCCACATGAATGACTGACTATGAAGGGGGGCGCGAACTATCCTGCTCAGACTTGCACTCAATGGAAGACTGTTTCCACCTGCAGTTGAGTAGACATGTCTTACAGAGCTGCTGAACGTTTCTCAATGTCCCCTCTTCCTGCATTTAGCCAGTAAATGAGACCACGCAAGTGAGAGAGTGCCAGAGGCTGGTTTGTGACAATGTGACAGTATCTTCTGCTCTTTTTGAATGTCACTCGGAAATCACCAGCCTATAAACTACTTTGATGTAAATGAATGGGGAAAATCACTGTCTGTCATTTCTAAAGAGACTTACAACTATACCCACAATCACTGAGAGGACTGGTGAAAAATGCAATGATGCTTAAAAAAAAAATAAAAAAAAAATCAAATTACTGGTACTTTTGCTCTAATGCCCGTCAAACATATTTGTATGAAAATATCGCCTTACCTGTATGGACAAAAGAAAATCTGAATGTTACAAAGTATTTTTTGCCGTCACAAAGGTAAACAATCCAAATTAAAGTGATTTTTCTAAATACAACGCCAAAAACTACTCTGACCAAAATTAAATGTAGACATAGTGCCAAAAAATTAGTTTTAATGCAGTATTTGCCTGTTTGGGGAAATACTGTTTAGTGCAGTCCCCTGCCATAGACTGTATGTGGATTAAAGTGAATCAGATGAACCCTGTTCCAAAGTGCAGAGATACAACAGAATAATACAATTGTTTTTCAAATTGATAAAAGACTGAAATGCTATATCATCATTTGATAAATTACACGTGAGAGACAAGATTGAGACTGCCGAACGGCTTTCATCAACACATTGTGTGAACAGCGATATTAGAGAAAAGAATGACCCATATTTTGTTGGTCTGAAGAAAGTTTTATTTTTCCAATCGTTTCAGTCAATGAAATTTATGGTATGCAAATGCTTTTATTTGTAAATGTGATATTGTAAGTAAATGCATAATTAGTTGTTGAGCTTGATTCAATCTTTTTTTAAATTCCAAGTATTATTTTGAATAATCTCCCATGGTGTGCCCTTATTGTACAAACCTATACTTCTCTCTGACAGTATTTGTGGCACCTCAGCGTGGTGGCACCTTATTTTTTTGCAGTTGGGACAAAGCATGAAAATAATTGTGAACGTGTCAGCAAAACAAACTAGAAAACCTTAAAAAGACACAAAAACAATTTTTGAAGTGAAACCAATGGATGACAAAATGTTCAATATGATTGCCAACTGTCACAGCATTGCTAACCTTCAGTGTGTTTTCCAAATCATGTTCTGGCATTAACATAGTGTATGCATGTCAATGTGTTCATACATTCACATGCACAACTAAGTTTACCTTTAAAAAAAAATGCAATATTTCATATATTTGTCAAATTTACATTTTAAAATACAGGCCAAATCCTTATTTCTAGGTAGATTAACCGATTCACATGTTCTTGAATTGAGAGACTCTTGCTTATGGAGGCACTTTCTGTTCCAAAACCTGTGTCCATGTGTGGACAGTGTTGTACTTGACTAAATACTGTGTGTAACTTAACTGTTGTAGTTACATACTTCATGCATTAGAGGTTGGATTTGTCAGAGGAAGATGTATGATTATGGCTAGACCACTGTTTACAACAATAATAATAATAATAATAATAATGATAAATAACAGTAATAATAACAATTACACTTACACAAGAGCCAACTCAATGATGTCTTGTCATTTCAAATGTGATAAAACTCTCTCACTCATCATGTTACATTTATACAGGGAGTATTGGTGATCTATTAAAGTGTCATTCAGGAGTCAAAGACAACTCCAGACTTAACAGAACACCTTCTTGTGGTACTTATGTAGAACCTTAGAGGCAAAAGAGAATTGTGGTAAGTAAAGTATACTTACCACAATTCTCTTTTGCTTTTAACCAAGTGCACTGACAAACATTACATATCATTTGGTATGTGAATGATTGAGCAAACCTGCCTGTGGTTGTTTTCCTCAAATGCAGCTTCAGTCAAACTATGAAAGCTCTATTTTTGATTGATTCAGGATGATCTTTTAGTAGATCATCGAATCAACAAAGTTCCATTTAGTCTAAAATTCATGTGAACATTTAACAAATATACAACATACATACATAACAACATGCGTATGCCATGCTGCTAAGCCTCAAAGCACAATGTCCTGCAATCATGTGATTTCAAATTTGGTGGAGCTTGGCGTCTTGACAGTAAAGAAAAAGGGAAAATGGAGTGGGATTTTGAATATAATAAACACACATTAACTTTTGCAATAGACCCACATGTAATCTACTTTGTGAAACAGGGTGTTGCCACTGGATTTAATAAGGAATTCTTGGCATCTGCAGTAGAGAGTGGGTTAACTGCAGTGGTCAGTATCTTCACATTACTCTGAATCCTTGTTGTCTGTGAGTGTTGGTCTCTTTGTCTCTGTGCATATTGCGGAAATTGAACTATGTATCGCCAAAACCCCATGCAACACCAGTGTAAAGACAGTAATTCAGCACAATACATCCAGTGTCTTCTCTGAGATCTATTGCTTCCATTTTTCACAACTTCCATGCAGCTATTTCACAACGCTGATTGGAGCTATTACACCTGTAAGCATTTGGTTTGACTTTATTTGGAGTAAAAATAAAAAGTCAAAATCAGTAAAAGCAATCCAAAGCAATTTTAGCACCAGCGATAGCGTAAACTAGAAGACAGTGACCGGTGGAAAAGCAAAAAAAAAGAAGAATGGGTTATGCCTTTGTAAATAGTAAATGTGTTGGAGACACCCAGCCTCAATAAGATGAAGGATCATAGATCATAAAATGGACTGGTGAATAGTTCTGAGCTTGGTAGATGAAAGTCTCAGAGATATGAAGTCCCCAGTGTACACATTTCAGGTTTTGCTTCTCTCAACTGTGCGACTCAGAATCTCTTGATGGGAGATATGAATGAATGTAAAAACCATGGATTGTACCACTTATAATTTCTGATTGTTTGGTTTCATTTTGTTTTTGTTTTAACAGACATAATGCACTTGTATATAAGCCATACCTGTTGTTAAATAAACCACTATTTATTGATCAACCATGGATATCAGTGAGTCTTTAATTTCTTTATATTTTATGGATTCAAGTCAAGAGCAATAAGCCCAAAATCACAAATCACAATTTGCCTCAGGGGGCTTTACAATATGTTTACCATTCAACACCCTCTGTCCTTAGATCCTCTATCTGGGTAAGGAAAAACTCCCCTGGAAGAAACCACAGAGGAGGGATCTCTCTCCCTGGACAGACATGGCTGCAATAAATTGAGAGTACAGAACAAACCAACAAAATCACATTGCATACAAATTTTGATGACAGAATTTCTTGTGCATGAAGATTATAAAAATGTATGTGAAGAATATGATCCAGTAGGACGATGAACAATGAAGGTGTTGCTGAATGGGACCTGAGCCATATGGCCTTACCAGCATTAAGACCTGGAGGTGGACAGGCCACAGAATACATGGATTTTATTAAAAGATAAAAAATATAAAAAACAGTCAGATATTTCCACTGCTGACTGGAGGCCTTGTATTAAAAAAAAAAGGAATAACTTTTATAGGACAAAAAAGCAGGGAGTGTATGACATAGTCATCCAATAGTGTTTCAATGGGTTTCAAAAGGCACAAGGGTTGTAGCCAAGGCTGGATTACAATTTTTGGGGTGAAATGCATCAAGCACAATTAAGAAGGCTTAGAGTCCATAGCCATGATATCTATTTAGGCAGAGAGATGCTTTGAGCTACCTGCTAACATCAGCATGCTAATATGTTCATAATCATAATGCTTACATTCCGTGTTTAGCAGGTATAATGTTAACCATGTTCACCAGTTTAATGTGTTAGCATGTTATGCATATTTTGTCATAAAGCTTTGATAATGGCTCTAGATGAAAAGTTAATGGATCGCCCAAAGTTATTACAATTCATCCTAAGGGGAATACGATCACTGTAAATCCTAACAACACATCTTAATAAAAAAAGTAAGCTAACTTAATCCTCCCAAAAAGTCAGTCACTCATTCCCATGAATTTAACCCAATGTAAAAATGTATTGTTTAACTAATAACTCAATTGTTTTGTGTACACTTAAATTTGTGCAGTATTTTAAGTATTGGTGATTTAATTACAGTTTGTTGCATTGAATCATTTTCTTTATATCATTACAAAATCGGATGCCCCAAAGCCCCATTGTTTTTTATCATATGTCAGCTGTTTTGACTTTGCTTTAGTGGAAGTAAATTTATTTTAAGTGGTAACATTTGCATAAAAAAGATGCCGTTATGGTGTGGTCTTACTTTATTGAGATAAATAACACATTTTAAATAGGTTCAGAGAAATGCTGCATATGAATGTAATATATTTTCTAGTTTTAAGTTCAATTAACCCTTAGACCCACAAGTGACTGGACCCTACTCTTCCATAAGTTAGGATTAACGTGTTTTTATGCCACTTTTCTCATTTTGTATTATATTTTGGTCCACACAAGAATGATTACACGTATGAAATATTTTTATTTTTCACTTTTTCAACATTTTTAACATTTTGAAAACATTTGAAAACATTTTGAAAATTGGAAAAGAATCAACATTACAAAATTACACAACAGCAATAGAACAATGTCAATATCCATTTTGTGTGTGATGATACACAATTAGGTCAGCTTGCAAATATGGATTGACCCCAAAAAAATTCTAACAAAAGGTTTCTCAGTGGTTTACAGTAGTATCAGATGTACTTAAAAACATACTAAAAGTTTACCCAAAGTTTGACTCAAGAAAGGCCCCCATTTCAAAATTGGCGGGGCCCTCAGGTCCTTAAAATGACCATTACTCCTTTGTATACCTCCCTAGACCAGGAATACTGGTGCCTGATACATGGTTTTGGCCAATGTAATATTCTAATTAGCATATTTGCATGATAGATTAAGTGACTCCGAATGAACCGGAAAAAAATTCTTACACTTCTCATAATAACATAAAAGATTTTGTTAACTTGTGTTTTTACGTGCGCCGGCTGCTTCAGCAAAGCATTCTACTCACTGCCAGTCAGTCGGATCTGCCCCTCCCCCCTTGATGTACGCGGGCGCGCGCACACTTCATACACACACACTCATACACCCACATCGCGCACTGGGAATATATAACTTTACCTGACAGCAATCCGAGACGTCATCGTTTGAGGTTAGAAAACGTTTAACAAACTTTACCAGTGATCCACTAGTTCAATTTTATCCTGATCAATGTACGACAGCAAACAGATTAACGTACTGCAAAAGTATTATTATTGATTAATTTAACATTAACGTTCGTTTAGCTAGCGATTTTAGCTGTCAGTTTCTCGATTATGTCGGACTGATATATCCGGCTGCTTGAAAATCACTCTATTATATGCCTCTTTCCCAAGGGTGTCTATTGGTGACGTTCTACATGTTCTGATAAGAAGTACTCATAACACATCTGACGCCTACTCTATCACACAGGATACAAGCAAACCGAGTTGTCCCAGGATACAACTGACTTGAACAAAGAAAATCACTTTCCCAAGGATGTCTATTGGTGACTTCTCCTAACTAGGGTGAGATAACCAGAATGTGAATACATAAGGATGAACATACATCAACATAAAAAATTATACTATAAGCCTGTAAGATTAAACATGGAATAACACAACATAATATAATTTGCTTCATGTTTACAGAACCTTATCCCTGAATGCATTTTCCCACTACATTCCCCCCTTGAGTGACTCTTGTCACTCACAAAAACAAAAATGCATTCTCTTACGAGTTTGTTTCCAGATTACAGAATGTTACCTCTTCAAATTTTTACCAAGTCCTGCTGAACAATCCACATACAATATGATGACATCATAGTACATAAAGATTACATCTACTGGTTACATAACTGCATTTAAATGTCTTCTCCCCCTTGTTACTTCCATACAACAACCCTAGGTTTCAAGCAAGCAAATAACATACAACAATGATAACAAGATGTGAGTATTTTTACCATAGTGTCGTCTTCTTCTGCCTCGTGTATTTTACATATAGGGCACCCCTAGGAAGAGGTTACTAGCACTTTGATGCAAGGGGGTTTCGATCTGATCCTCAGTTGCGTTTGTCAATCAGGTTCTGAATGTACTATACATTTTGCATACCCAAGTACAATTTTCCCTTATTCAAAACTGAACTTTCAATTTCAAACATGATTTCCACTTTTGTAATTGTCTCAATGATACCTTCTCATTTTACATCAAAACTTAATACTTAATACTATATATTATATACTATATATTAATACTTAATTATAAAAATGCCATTGTGCCTAAACATAGAAAACCCCTGTGTTACATTTTTTGTGATTAGATGATAGATTTCCCTTAATTTGCAGGTTTACTACATGTTCTAAGCACACTTTATGTGAGCTATGTGGTCAGATGTGGTTAGACAAATAATTCTCTGGTCATAATGACTAATTACTGTGGTCCTAATTTCTTTTACTTGTATATTTGGACAGTGTAAGCTGGTTAAGTATCCAATTTCCCTGTTCTAGACCTTGAGAGAATGGAACATCAGTATACATTCCCTTTCTAAGAGTTTAGGAAAGGTATATGCTCAACTTCACTCTAGGCTAGATGGTTTACACCTTCTTCCTAAGATTTGTCTCAACATGTTAGAATTTTCTGAAATGACTTCACTCCAATACAGAGTGGATATCTCTGGGTAGTGGACATTCATGCACTTATCACTCTTTTGTAGTGTTTGCAATGTTGTTTTATTAGACTCCTATCAGTGGTGTAATCAGGAAGAGCTTCTAAAGGTTCTCAGTTCCTCCTTTGACCTGTTTGAACAAAAGCTCATACAAATTTGTTAGTCAATGGACACATTTCTTTCATCAGCAAATCAAGTGGCAGACCCTATGGGGTCCTCTCAAATGCGACGCTGGCATAGGTCGCCCTGTTAGCATTTCATGCGGGGTTATGGGTTATTCTGTTAGTATGCATTCTTATACTCATTAGTGCAAGCGGCAAGACAGTCACTTAGTGATTGACATACAAGACAACAACAACATGGCGCCCACTGTGGTGTGCCTGTTGGACTTTGACTTTCTCCTACACCTGGACCAAGCCAACTCCAGCTGGCAGGACACAGCAACACCGGTGCACCCACGGCAGAGACGAGGCAAGAAAGGTGGGCTACATGCTAGGCTAAAGGCTAGAACTACACGACCACCGCTAATGTCCGCTCTCTTGAAAATAAGATGGACGAGCAGAGAACTAGGACTACAACTCAGCGTGAAATAAGGAAATGTTGTGCTCTTATTTTCACTGAGACCTGGCTCTCGGACAGTGCGCCAAACTTGGCTCTCCTGCTCCACACAGACTCCATCCACTGCTGAGACTGCACAGAGGCCTCGAAGAAGACCAGGGGAGGCGGTGTGTGTGTGTACATTAACAACAGATGGTGTGGGGATGTGCAGGTTGTTGAAAAGCACTGTTCACCGGACATTGAACTTTTAATGCTAAAGTGCAGACCCTTTTATCTACCGAGGGAGTTCAGCGTTGTGTTTCTGCTCGCTGTTTACATTCTGCCACGGGCTGATCATGTGACCGCGCTGGGAATGCTACAGGACCTCATCAGCAAGCAGGAGACTGCACACCCAGATGCCGTCTTCATTGTGGCTGGTGATTTTACCCACTGCAACCTCAGGAGTGTCCTACCAGAAGAATACTCTCGACCAAGTGTATAGCAATGTGAAGGATGCCTACAAGGCTGTTCCTCGGCTGCACTTTGGACTATCAGATCACATCTTAGTGTTCCTCTACCCAGCCTACAGACAACTCCTCAAACGAGCTCCCAGCGAATAAAACTATTAAAGTGTGGAATGAAGAATCTGAACTGGTTTAACAGTACAGACTGGTGTGTGTTTAAAACTGCTACTCTGAGAGGGGACTGCACTGTGGACCTAGAGGAATATGCTGCAGCTCGGGTGACACTGAGAACTACAAAAAGGCCAGATATGACCTGCGTTGATCAATCAGACAGG